GCAAATACATCATGCAACGGCAATCTCGTGTCACAGGGAACTATTTCTGATTGCCTGCTGGACTTTGTGCAGTCAGCAAACCAGATGTTTGGTCTCAAGACACTGAGAACCTGGTCGAATGTCCAGGATCATTCCATTGGTGGACAGTGGGATCTATTCCGAGATCTGGACTTTGAAAAACCCAAGGCCTTGTTTCTTCCAGTTTGCACAGGTATTATGCTGCACAAATTACCTAACTTTCCCAACCACTGACTACAAACAGTCCATTCATTGAAAACTGGCACCCTAGTTGTAGGTATCGTGAAAACAACAGTACATCCTGCATTGTGTGATCCGTGCAATTGTTCCTTGCCACATTCGAGGCCTGAAAAGTCCAAGAACAGGGAAAAAGAAATTCAGCGAGGTTTCACAAAATTAGAACAGGTATGCCGTGGCAAAATGTATGGAGAAGCATAGTATCCCAAACCCTGATTTTTGAGGTTTAAAGTGGGTTTTTATCCTCAATTCTGCCAAAATCAGACTTTCATAATCCAGCGGGAGTATTTCCGACGAATGGACTTTTGTAGTTTTTCTTTGCTAGTTTACTAGCTGATTATAATCCTCCACACTCCCTCCGCTCACAGAAATAACAGAATAGAAATGCGAGCATATGTGCACGTGCACCCACACATGCACCAGCACAAGCACACACACACACACACACAACACACACACACGTGCACGCACACACGCATGCACACACACACACACACACACACACACACATGCTACTACTAGCAGCATGACTGCCCGGATGGGCAAGTATGACCGTAATCAATAATAGAAAACTGGAGTTGCATCACAAGCAGTGCCGCAAATGCCTAGATATGTCTTGTTGCTTACGGAAACGGCGATCCCGATGTGGCCAGCTGAGGGACAGAGTTGGTCTTTCAGGAGCAGATAGTCTTCCACCGCGGTTTACACACGTACCATGTATACGCCCGTCGCAAGAGAAGCACGCAAATCTGCAAATGCATTGGATGTGCACCCACAGATTTTCTCTTATAGCAACGTAGCGAACAAGATCTGAATGAGACAGATCAAGACTTGCGCCAGATAACTGTCTAATCCACACAACTGGCGAAGCCATGTGAATCGACCACCAATGCACACCTGGTCTACACCACACGGAGTACATCGGTATAAAACAGCCAAGACAGTTATCTATGCACACCCTACACTTGCTGGGGTAACCAGTATAGACAGCGTGCTGCTTTGATAGAAGCAGACACTAGATGCACTGGTACCTTGAAGTGAAATTGGAGTTACTTTACCAACCAGCCTCGGCTACTGAGTACTGGGAACACACGTACGCGTACACACACACACACACACACACGCACACGCACATGTCATCCGCACTCACTCGCAACCCCTCCCCCCCCCCCCCCACTGACTCACTCACCCACCAACCGACCAGCACTCTTCAACTCACTGGCCTGCTCTCTCGCTCACCCTCTCTCCACATACCCCTCAACCAACCGAAGGTCAGCCAACCTTCACTCGCCCCTCACTCACCATCCCCCCCCCCCCCCTCTTCTCCTCTCACCCACCTATCCATCCCCTCACTCACTCGCATCCTCTTAGTCACCAACCAGCCCTTGGCTAAATGTCTGTGTCACTCCTGTAGATGTGGTGGATAGTTGCTAGGTAACCTGACTTTGGCTACTGTCTGTGTTACTCCTGTATATGTGGTGGATAGTTATCATAACTAACCCGCCTCTGGCAACTGTCTGTGTGTTGTGCACTATTCCTACGTTACTCTTGTACAGCATATGTGGTGGATAGTTGCTAGGTAACCCGCCTTTGGCTACTGTCTCTGTGTGTTGTGCACTATTCCTATGTTACCCTTGTACATGTGTATGGGGTCACAGGTGGATAGTTGATAACTAACCCACCTTTGGCTACTGTCTGTTGGTGTTGTGCACTATTCCCTACGTTACTCTTGTAGATGTGGTGGACAGCTGTGCCAGTTCACCATGTGGCGCTAATGCGATCTCATGTACAAACGCTCTTCAGTCCTATCAATGTACTTGCAAAGTAGGTTGGGCCGGCAACAGCTGCACAGTGGATGGTAAGTTGAACACTTTCTCTGAATTGATTCTCATCTGTGTGGTGCCACTGGGTGCCATGTTTGTGTGAAATCTCCGCTTCTCGCGATGGCCTGGAGCCAGTAAGAGAAGAAGAAATACGGATACAGGGGTCGGATAAAGGAATATCAAAATTTAGCTGAGAGCTGAACTAGTTTCTATGCTAATGTAGAGTCAATCACACTGAGTTGGTACTGTTTCATGTTGCTGTTGCAGGAGCCAAGCAGCAGGTGCCATCTTTCGTTCCTCTTCCTATGTGTGGGGTTTCCCCTGTTTGGCTTCCCGTGTTTACCTGTCTGTTTGCCAACCTGCCTCCTGCCTGCCTGCCTCTTCCTCTCCCTCTCTCTCTCTCTCTCTCTCTCTCTCTCTCTCTCTCTCTCTCTCTCTCTCTCTCTCTCTCTCTCTCTCTCTCTCTCTCTCTCTCTCTCTCTCTCTTTCTTTCTTTCTTTCTTTCTCTCTCGTATGCATACAGTTGATGAGTGTGCTGGGACCGGTGCACTCAGTGATTGCCACGCGGATGGCACATCGCAGTGTGTCAACACCGACGGGTCTTTCACCTGTAGCTGCAAACCAGGATATACTGGATCAGCATGCGAAGGTGAGGACAAACTGCAGGCGCGTTGCCCACATGGGGCACTGGGGGGGGGGGGGGGGGGGGGGGGGTACCCCTGAACCTAGGTTCAGCATGCACATAATGACCATGAATGACATGCACGAGCCGGCTAGTTGGGTTGCTATATGAGTTGATAGATTAATGTTGGCTTAAAACTGCTTGAACAGGGAAGCAAGAAGAGCTCTCAGTGTGTGCGTGTGCATGTGTGTGTGTGTGTCTGTGTGTGTGCATGCGTGTGAGTCTGTGTGTGCACTGAGCGCGGGTACTTTGAATGCTAGAGATAAAGCTTGGTATATTATGTTGCTGCCTTCTCGCCCTCACAGATCAGATTGACAGCTGTGCAAGTAATCCTTGCATCACGGGCGCATGTAACGACCATCTTCATGGCTTCACATGCACGTGCCCGGCTGGACGGTCAGGTTACCTCTGCGAGTATGAATGTAAGTTTAACCAGTTCTTCTGAATGCTGCCCCAGCCAATCCAGTGAAGGAATGCATTAGCCATTGTCAGCATGTTTGCCATATTTTCCGCAGTATATGCCGCACCCCCATTTTTTGCCACGAAATACAGACATCTACCCTGTTTATTACCGTTTATTAGATCATCGGAGTAAAAGCCGCCCCCCCCGCCCTTTTAGGGTGAATTTTGAGCGGTCAAAGTGTGGCTTATACCGGAGAATACGGTACTTGGAAATCAAAGTGACGGTTCAGTAACGCCACTGCCCGCTGTATCATCATTTCCTTTCCTGGCCTAACTGGCTATTTTAGTACCCACTCTATTCAGTAGCATTGCCTTCACTGGCCTTTCATACTTTATTCTCCTTTTTAGTCGATATCATGTAATTAGGCAAATTTGCTTGTTTGTTCTTCGACTCTTCAATAAACAAAAAACAACGGTGTTCATATGCTTGTTTTGTATCGTTATCCTTGAGGGTGATGGTTTTCCTATGATTGCAGAAATTTCCGCCTGATGGAGTTTCATGCGAACTAGAATTATTTACGTACTTTTGTGTGTCCAGCCATGTTTTCGTTGCGTTCATCAGCGCATTTCTCTCTCTTCGTCTGCCAGACACTATCCAAATCTCACCTTGTTTTTGTGTGATTTGCAGCCAAGTTCCTGGACTGGTCACAACATCTTGCACCGGGTTACGACGTCATCACATCGTCTGCTAAATTCCTGCTGTCGGAATTCGACACGGCTCTGTGTCCACCGGGCTGGTCTCGCTTCTGTTTCGACGGCCAGCGCATGAAGCAGCTGAGCTCATGGTGGTCAACATCTGCTTCGCTTACTCCCGGCTTAGTTTGGTCGGGCCTGGACTGGGATTATGTAAGACCTCTATGTTTCTTCAGGAAAAAGAGTTGGGGGACAAGCCATTGATTATCCACTCTCACTGTAATTTCAAAAAGTATTCTTTCTAGACTAAAGAATGGTAGTGTATATGATAAATAGAGATAGAAAGATGTGCGATACTTCTCCAGACGTTTCGTTGTTCTGAACAATATCGTCAGTGGATAAAGCTGAAGTATCGTAAATATTTCTATCTTCATTTATCACCATTCTTTGGTCTAGAAAGAATACTTTTTTGATGTATTCAGGAATATAATTCCATCAGTTTGAGGAAATGTTGCGCAAGGGGTAAAAGTCCGAAGAAGAGGAAAAAATTGACTGTCACCACCAGGACTCGAACCAGGGACCCTCGCTTATGTGCAGGGATTCTCTGCTACACTGTACTTAGCTATGGTGTAGTCCTAAAGTGTAACTTCATAACGGCAACAAATAGGAAAAGCTGAATCCACACGTGCGTACTATATTCATGCAATTTCCCACGGTGGAAACAATGTGCAATAACAATGATAAAAGCAACAAAGTGATAGTGAAAGGAGCAATACGGACGTTTTCGTACCACACTCAGATGATATCAGGATTTGTCATTGTACTCTAGTGCCACTGAACCCATCCCAAGTGCCCAAATGTACACCTTGGAAGCTCTTGATATGACTGTTGATTTCCCATTCACCCCTGACATTGCAAAAAAGGTGCCGAATGGGTGAATTTTCCAACCAGTGAGGTGGTCGTGTCCCGTAGTTATAGCATGGAACAAAATTAGTGATGTTCTTGCATCGGCTGTGCGTGCATGTGCATGGTAGAGGCGACGGTTCAATACCGGAACGGCTTGACAGCCAAATTTGTATAGACCCAAACAGCGTTGATTGTTCACTCGAAATATGTTTGTGGAAGGAAACTGGCATGTTGGAGTTTGCTCCTGAGGCCAGAGTCAATCGAACTGAGCCACTCCTTTGTGTTGACCCATTGCCTCCAAGTTGCCCAATTTTTCACTTCAAATCAGAGGTGGCTCCAAACCGGACAGGTTTTTAGAGTGCACTTCAAATTCACTCTGGGTCTGAAATAATAATTAGGTGCTATCGCTCCACGACGGCCACGTGCCAGTACAGAGTAACAATAAGCCTTGTGTGTGCTTCCATTAGTTTTGATTGGTATGCGGTGCTTTATTGGCGAGAGGCGAGCCGCTGTTTACCTGCGACAAGAAGTTGATTTTTCGAAAGTCGTAAAACTCAAGTCGCAGTGCGAAGCAACACATCAAAAACTCACCCACCTACTTGGTATGGCGCTTCTGGTCATCGCAGAGCCATGAAATTTTGGCTCGGAGTATAACACATCGTAGTTGATGTATCATGCTAGCTACTCATGTATTGCGCATGTACTTCAAGTTGTTATCACCCGCATAACGCGTATTGTTACGTTATACGCCTTGCTTCACGTGATTACGTCATGTCTCTATTGGACGCATGCACGCATCCATATTCTGGATTCATGTGTTCTTCTCCTTGCTCTTCTTCCTCACTTGAGAATGTAAATAATTAGTTTCTATTATCTTGTCACCAAACTAGTTCCTGTTGTCTAGTAGTAGTGGTGTGCATGAGAACATAACATGGCGCAGTGAAGTTTCGTACCTGTGTTTTTCTAGTTGCCCGTGGTGCATCCCGGTTGTGTTCGCACGAGGCCTGCAGGTCCAATTACATTTTATTTATTTCTCTAGTCGTGACCGCCTTCCGAAATGTCAGATGCAGCTGCACCAAGTGTGCCAAGCGCAGATATCGCTGCTCTTGCCGATCTCTTCAAAAAGCAGATGGAGGCAGCCAATGAGCGAGAGAAGCGTCTCGATGCAATTATCACTGGTCTTACTCAACAGAGTCAGCCTCGCTCGTCGCCAGCACCGCCAGCTCCAAAGCCTGTCGCGGCGGAGCGACCCATGCTGCTGTCCTCCGCGTCCCTGTCAGAGTTTGCTGCCTGGCAGGAACTGTGGGAAGACTTCTCTCGGTGCCAGCACCTGACAGCACAGTCAAGGGAAACCAGGGTATCTGCCATCCGTCAGTGCCTTGACGAAGACCTCAGACGTTTTATCAGGGAGGGCACCATTGTCATCGCGACCAATCCTGATGCGTGTGACGTCTTGGAGGCGGTCAAGCAGTTTCTTCGCCGACAAAGAAACCCGATACTTGACCGAATTGAATTTTATAAGCGCACGCAACAGAAAGGGGAATTGTTTGACGGGTTCCACACTTCCCTGAAGGAGTTGTTTAACACGTGTGATTTTGTGGAACACGAGCTCTGTTCTGCCTGTTCGGCACGTGCCTGTTCTACGTGCAAAACTAATCTTGCACGGGTCCACGCGGACATGATGCGAGACCGCATTGTGATCGGTATCCTGGACGACACCACCCGTCACAAACTGTTGTCCACCTCCGACCTGACGTTGGAGGCGACAGTCAAGGTGTGTCGTGCAGAAGAGGCAGCCACACAGACCAGCCACCACATCCCTACCGCCGGCCAAGTCAATGCTGCCAGGAAGTCGTCTTATCAGCGCGCGAAGTTAGCTTCACAGCCCCCAGTTGAGGCGAAGCACACTTCTGCTCGTGATAAGTGCCGTAACTGCGGACGCACAGCGCACACGAAATCGCCGTGTCCCGCGATCAACAAAGTGTGCCTTAACTGTAATGGAACGGGTCACTTCCGGGCAATGTGCCGCAGGCCTGCCAAGAAGCCGGACAAGTCGTCCAAGATCGCACACTTGCGACTCAACCGAGCATCTCTGTTGGACGACGCAACAGTTTCCGTTGCCACCCAGCTTGTGACCGAGCCAGAGCCCGTTGCTCTTAGTTGGCTCCCGGATACTGGTAGCGACGTTGATGCCATCGGCACTCAACACCTTGACCAGTTAGGCGGATTTGTCGAGAACCTGCTTGACGACATCGACGATGTTCGTACCGCAGATGGCGCCAGTCTCAACCCTGTTGGCAAGATTTCGGCGACCCTCAGTTGTGGACCAAACCAGCACACGTCCACCATTCATGTCTATGATGGTTTGACTGATGCCCTCTTATCCCGTTCATCCTTGCACGCCCTAGGATACTTGCCGTCCGGCTGGCCGAAGCAAATCGCAGCAGTCCAACAGGTAGTCCCATCGGTCGTTCCCGATGCACCTGCGGACAAGGTTGTGTCCAAAGCCACCGACTCAGAGACGATGAGAGCCGAACTCCTAGCTGAATTCGCTGACGTCTTTGATGACTCTGTGTTGAAGCCAATGCTTGGTGGACCTATGGAAATTAGAGTGCGAGCTGATGCTAAGCCTGTCGCTGCATATCATGCCCGCCAGATCCCGCATGCGTACCGTGACCAAGTGAAGTCCCAGCTGGATGACATGGTCCGGGATGCCATCATCGAGGAGGTCACCGAACCCAGTGCGTGGTGTCACCCAATTGTCATCGTGGACAAGAAGGGGACAAACGAGAAGAGGCTCACCGTTGATTTCAAAAAGCTCAACGACCAAGTCGAACGCCCTGCTCACCCCGCACCAAGCCCTCGTGACGCTGTATCCAGCGTTGGCAACGCAAGATATTTCACCAAGCTAGACACCCGCCACGGCTATTGGCAAGTTCCTCTGAGCGAGGCCTCCCGTCCGTTGACCACGTTCATGACACCTTGGGGTCGGTACAGGTACCTACGCAACCCACAAGGATTGGTCTCTGCCGGAGACGAGTTTAATCGCCGCACCGACGCCGCGTTCGCTCATATCTCCCAGTTCCAGAAGGTCGTTGATGACTGCCTCGTCTACGATAATGACCTGAACACCCACCGATCTCACGTCCGGGATGTCCTGCTCTGCGCCCGGGAGAATGGCATTACTCTGAGCGCCAAGAAGTTTGTGTTCGGCATGCCAGTCGTGGAGTTCTGTGGTTACCGCATCAGTGCTGACGGCTGGACCGTCGATGATGCCAAGGTCAAAGCTATCAGCCAGTTTCCAGCTCCTAGCAACCGCACTGATCTCCGATCGTTTATGGGTCTTATCAACCAGTGTGGTGAGTTCACCCCGCACCTGTCTGAGCACGCCGCCCCGTTGCGCCCATTGCTCAAGACGTCCAACGAGTTTGTATGGGACTCAGTTCACACAGACGCAGTCAACGCTGCCAAGGCTGAGCTGTTGTCACCATCAACGCTGTCATTCTTCCAACGTGACCAGCCACTCCGCCTAGAGACCGATGCATCTGCTTTGCATGGCCTTGGCTACGTTCTGTGGCAGTTGCAAGATGGCAAGTGGCGCATTCTCCAGTGTGGCAGTCGATTTCTGTCGGATCCAGAATCCCGGTATGCTGTCATCGAACTGGAGCTCCTAGCTGTCGTCTGGGCGGTGAAGAAATGTTCTCTCTACCTCGCCGGTACATTGTTTGAGCTTGTCACCGACCACCGGCCCCTCACACCAATCATCAACTCGTACTCGCTCGATCAGATTGAGAATCCCCGGCTCCAACGCCTGGTCATGAAGCTTCGTCCATACCAGCTGCATGCCACTTGGCGTAAGGGTACTGACAACGCTTTCGCCGACGCGCTGTCCCGCAATCCAGTGGATGATCCCACCCCTGACGATGAGCTCGGTGAACACCCAGCCCTTCGTACTCCTGCCATACGCGCTTGCATTCGGAAAGACACCGAAGGCCAGATTGCCAATCTCCGGTTTGCCGAATTGCAAGAAGCCGCTCGAGCTGACTCGGATTATCAGGCACTCCTCACCACCGTCCGGAACGGATTTCCCGACGACAAACGCGACTTATGTCCTGCTGCCCAGCCGTATTGGACAGTCCGTCATCATCTTACAGTCGACCAGGACCTGGTACTGAAAGGTCCTCGCATTGTGGTCCCGCGTTCCCTCAGGCGTAGTGTACTTGACGACTTGCATGCTGCTCATCAAGGTCTCAACCGTACCAAGGCTCGTGCTCGCCAGGTGGTGTATTGGCCCCAGCTGTCCAATGACATTGACAATATCGTTCGCAGCTGCGCTGAATGCCGTCACCACGCACCTTCCCAAGTGAAGGAACCGCTGCTGGCAACTGAGGATCGTTGTCCTGCCCTCCCGTTTGAGAGCACCAGCGCGGATCTGTTCGAATGCCAAGGCTACCAGTTCCTGGTATACGTGGACCGCAAGACCGGCTGGCCCTGTGTTGCCAAGATAGGACGCACCGCCACCTCCGCTGACGTAGTCCGTGCGTTCCGAGGCTGGTTCGCGGATCTCGGTGTCCCAGCTGTCCTGACGACTGATGGTGGTCCGCAGTTTACAGCGCAGCGTTTCTCCGCCTTCTGTCAGCGTTGGCAAGTCCGCCACGTCAGATCCAGTCCGCATTACCCACAATCGAATGGCCATGCGGAGGCGGCTGTCAAGGCCATCAAATCTCTCGTGTACAAGACCACCACCGACGGAGACATTAATGTCGACGCCTTCCGTCGTGGCTTATTGGAATGGCGTAACACTCCCCGTAGCTCCGGTCAGAGCCCAGCGCAGGCCCTGTTTGGCCGCCCCCTGTCGTCATTCGTGCTTGCCCACCGGACCAGTTTTGCCCCAGCGTGGCAAGAAACCGCTGACGAAATCGACAGTCGTGCCTCTGCCCAGTCTGAAGCAGCCAGTCAGCACTACAACCAGTCTGCCCGTTCTCTGCCTGCCCTCCACCTTGGTTGCCCTGTGGATCTACAAGATCCCCGCAGCAAGTTGTGGAACGCCCGCGGTACCATTGTCGCCATTGGGAGCCACCGCGACTACATGGTCAAGCTTCCCAGTGGCCGAATATACTGGCGAAACCGTCGCTTTCTTCGTCCTGTTGTCTTGCCCGTAGCACCTGCACAGCCGATGCCTGCTACCCCCATCACTCAGCCTGCCCCGCCAGTCCGGCGCAGTCAGCGAAGCCGCCAACCCCCGTCTAGGCTGAATATTTCGAACACTCGTGGCCAAACTTATGATTAGCTGCCTGTGCGTCTTTCTGTCTCTTGTTGAGCTCAGCTATTTTCGTATTCAGTCATCTCTATCTTCTTTGCCGTCCTTTCTAGTTGGTATTAGATGCCTTGTTGTCATCTCAGAAGGGGCGTGAGATACATGTATGTAAATGTAATTGTTATATTTCTATCTCAGAAGGGACGTGATGTATCATGCTAGCTACTCATGTATTGCGCATGTACTTCAAGTTGTTATCACCCGCATAACGCGTATTGTTACGTTATACGCCTTGCTTCACGTGATTACGTCATGTCTCTATTGGACGCATGCACGCATCCATATTCTGGATTCATGTGTTCTTCTCCTTGCTCTTCTTCCTCACTTGAGAATGTAAATAATTAGTTTCTATTATCTTGTCACCAAACTAGTTCCTGTTGTCTAGTAGTAGTGGTGTGCATGAGAACATAACAGTAGTCTCACTGTGACATGTTTTCTAATCAAAATACCAAGAGAGAAAGTGAATATTGAGTCCGTTCCGGTTTGCAACCTATGTCCTATTTGAAACCGTCGCCTCTACATGGTGTATATATATAGAAAAGCGATCCTGTCAGCTTTTCTATTATTGTGTTCACAATGTATTTTTTTAGAAAGCTATCATGAAGCAGTTTTTATTGCTATAATGTGTGTGGGTGTTGGTGGGTGGGTGTGTATGAAAAGGACCAAAAAGTAGGGATTCACTGACCAGAAACAGCCACTTCATAGCTGTGTGGTGTAGACCAGGCTGAATAGTGGCGGCGGTTAATTCTTCAGCCTTGCAAGCTGTTGAATGGTGCAATCCCAGCACAAGCTGCTATGGCTTCTGCTGTGGCATTGCTACCATTGCCTCCGGCGATGGGTGTCAAATGGGTATCAAATGGGTGTCAAATGGGTGTCAAATGGTGTGTGTGTGTAAATGTGTGTGTTTCCATTTATGTTTGTGTGTGTGTGTGCATGTGCATGTATCTGTTTGTGTGTGGGTTTGGGCGTGTCCTCTGCAGGTTGCCTATGCGTATACATCCAATGCCAGTCGTAAGGCACTGGGTAGCACTGCAAAGGCGCACATATCCTGCACAAGTAAGCGCTGTAAAACATGTCTTTTTGAATCCGGTAGCTTTTGTAAAATGATCAAATATTCACTGGTGGAGAGAATGCCTAGTGGAGTTCACTGAACATATCTAACACACTGCCGTTGGATGTGTGTGATCAATTAGCTGAGCTCAAATTCCACATTCTATGGCCAACCAATAAACTGTTCGGTTTTGGCTGATTCTGTGACCTCCTTGGTTTTATATGCTCCAGGACAAAACGGGATTGTCGACCTCATCGAGCTGGACGACTACAGTAGGTGCTTGTTCATTATTTAACGAAATTCATGATGATTCTGCAATCGTGCTCAGTAATAGAGAGGTTTCGCTCTATGTTAATTTGGCGCAACTTTACCTAAGTGGGAGGGGGAAACCTGTCCGCTCGCGAGTTTGCATTCAACTTACGGAATATTGACAACGGATAGTACACGTGTGATTTCCGCGCTCACAGAGGTGCTCCGTAAGTGGATTAGTAGATAAATGTAGCTCTGTCTCTCTGGGTCATACCCTTTCGCGTCTGGAGTTAGTATGGCCAGGTAGGTAGTTATGGCGGAACACGGATCCGCATGCAGTGTACGCAAGACTTTCCGTAGATCGACTCCACTGTTTTCTAACGTAAGACCATTTAATTCTAGCGATTTAACGAATTTACAAAACTCGTTTTAAGCATTTGAAGTCGTTATGACATAACGACTTCAAATGCTTAAAACGAGTTTTGTAAATTCGTTAAATTGTACTGAACGATATGTACACGTACAGTAATTTGCAAGTTTTGAGACAGAATTCGTTAGAATTTCACCCCGCTAACCCACAAAAATCCGAAGATCGTTAGCTTTAATTGACGTTGGAATATCTGGTCTTACAGTAAAGTGATTACGTTGTGCGGAACCTCTCTAATAGCCTGGTATTTACTACAGTCCATTCATTGGAAACTGGCACTCTAACTTTTTGATGTCTCTTTCACATAGTTGTAGATATCGTGAAAACAACAGTACATCCTGCATTGTGTGACCCGTGCAATTACTCCTTGCCACATTTGAGGCCAGAAAAGTCCAAGAACAGGGAAATAGAAATTCAGCCAGGTTTTACAAAATTAGGACAGGTATGCAATGGCAAAATGTATGGAAAAGCAGATCCAAAACCCAGATTTTTTAGATTTAAGTGGGTTTTGATCCTCAATTCGGCCCAAATCCGACTTTCAAAAGCCAACGGGCCAGTTTCCGATGAATGGACTGTAAGCCCTTTGAGCAATGATGTAACTTGTACCACCACCACCCCTCTCAGCCGGAGACAGCCCTGGAACCCCATCAGAGTTGTACCGACAGAAAAATGGCAGCTCTGCTCCTCAACATACTGCTCAGTTTTGGTAACATTGTTTTGCCAAGCTCACCTTGTGAACTCCTGGGTTTGTACATTCCAGAACAAACCGGGCTGATGGACAACTTCCGTGGCGCTCGCATGAAGCAGAGTAATGACCTGGTGTCCTGTGCCATCGCTCAATCATCCTGCCGCGACCATCTCGGCTTCCACCTAGCCAGCAGCAGCCAACTGACGGACCTGAAGATAACTGGCGATTACTTGACAAAGGAGAGCTGCCAAGGTGGCTCAGGCCCATCGAAGAAGTTCGTTTGTGTCGGTAAGTGGCTGTTCATGATTTCTGCAATTGTGTTCAGTAGTATCCTAGTGAGAATAAGCGAGGCCATTGTCCAATGACTTAGCTTGTACTGCCAACGCTCCACACAGCCGCCTGGATGTAGTCATGTCGGCTGTTGAACACATTGCATTCCCGACCCCATTGCACTCACACGCACCATTCATACAGTCCGTGTTTGGCAATGCGCAATGGGCGTATTCAAGCATATATGGTCCTCAATCAGCTTGCACAGGGAAAATGCCTGGCTTTAATCCCGGTAGTAGGTAAGATACATAATCCATGATGTCTGGTGATTGTAGACAACAGTTGCAATTTGGAACTGCTCATAAGTTTGAGGGAGTTGGAATTTGAGAAAATATCTAGTCTCTCTCTCTGTCCTCATGCTGTGTTGTGAGAAAGTTCAGTGTGTTTGACAGCTTATATATTATTTATTCATTCATTTCACCAGCCAATGGCAAAATACAACACAAAGGAAGAGGCGCCAGCCAGCCATTTCAACAAAAAGAGGGGAAACAGGAAAGGAGAAAATAACGCATCAACGGGTTGAAAATGTTGTTGTTGGTGGTGGTGTTGTGTTGTGGTATATTTTCAGGCTGTTCTGTGCACTGGAAGGATGCTTGGGGCATGGAGACAGTGAGTGAAACTGGTCATGTGACTTGCAAGGCAGGCTACGTGTGGAGAGCTAGCTCACAGGGTAGTCCAGCGTGTCCCAATGGTGTTTGGACTGGTCTGGCCAGCTGTGCAGGTAAGCACAAAATCTGACATAATATTATCATTATATCTACCTGGTCTTATTCTCTATTAGTAACGAGTAGTTTGGGTCCATAACACTGCCCATCGATCTGCCGGTCTTCTCTCTCTCTGTCTGTCTGTCTGTCTGTCTTTCTCTGTCTCTCTCTCTCTCTCTCTGTCTCTCTCTGTCTCTTTCTCTCTCTCTTTCTCTCTCTCTATCTCTCTCTCTATCTCTCTCTCTCTCTCTCTCTCTCTCTCTCTCTCTCTCTTCATCTTTCATTTTGTTTTGCGTTTTTGCCGTTTATTAGTATGTTTGTTTGTTTTCTGTGCTCACAAAATTGCACAAGCACAGCAAGCTTGGAACTCTGCCATGACTATTGCGATGCTCATTTTCTTCCATTGCATTTCCACTGTTTCCAGCCATCTACGAGGGTATGACTCACTCCAGGTCGATAATCCTTCAGCTGAGCACCGTAGCTGATGCGGGCAGCAATTCCACGGCGCAGACTAAGACAACCGCGACCACCGCCAAGCCGAACATCACATCCACTGTCTTCACCAGTGCCGGGAAGCCTCTGGAGATGACGCACGAAGAGGCAATGGTGTATTGCTTCCGTGCCCACGGTCCGGGATCCCGTCTGCCGATCCTCAGCACTCCACCGGAGCGCGATGCCATCTCTTCCCTGGTGCGTTCCTGGAATTTGCCCGGCGCAAAGGAGGCCTCCTTCACACACATCTGGGCCCTGGAAAAGCCCGGCATTCACCGGCCCGTGGCCGTGTTCTCTGGAGCTGGCGATGCTGCAGGCAACGTAGCTACAGTGTTGATGGACCCGGCCAAGAAACTGCCCGTTGCTTGCGTCGCAGGTGAGGCAGCATGTGCATGCGATTGATTTTTCTCTTCAAAGACACCTTTCTTGGCATCTTATTATTATGCTTGTTCGCGTTGACATCACCAAGCAAGCTTGGCTAGCCTTCGCATAAGCCAAATGAACAAAAGAAAAGGGGAACGAGCGAAGCCAATGAGGAGCACACACGCATGCAACTGCAGAATAAGCAAAAGGCATAGGTAGCATGATTATCTGTGTGCACAACGATGACATGTGCTGGCGGTGTGGGGCTCATGCACATATCCAGGACGGCTGCTGAGGTAGAGTAGAACTGTATGTATGTATGTATGTATGTATATTTTTATTTGAATTCGCAAGTACACACGGGCTACAAGCCCAATTACATGGAAGTGAATGCCATAATGAGGCCAATTAAGAAAAAAAGGTGGAGGAACTGCCACCGTGATGTTGGATTAGAATCTTGGGAGGGTTACAATCAGTCACTGGTTACAATGATCCTTTCTTTAGACACCTCAATTAAGATTGTCCCTGAAACGTGTGAATTCCGCACTGTTGCTGTATCATTGATTCTGTATGCTAGGCTGCCAGGTCCCGTCGACGTACTCCACAACAAATGTCAAGTCAGTACTAGTGAACGGCACAGTTATCTGCAGCGGCACTGGCGACTGGGTGGCAGCGTATGCCGCCGTGCTGCCTCAGTGTTTCCAAGGCTTCTGGAAGGATCTGCCAGTCTGTCAGCGTGAGTTTCCCCTGCAATACTGTCGGGCGCCGGGGAGCGGAGCGCCGAACAACGGCCAGGCTAGAATTTCACCAAGCACACCATACCAATATATACACGGTGACTCAACTGGGCGTAGACTGTAATACATGAACATAAGAATGGTCTATAGTACGCTTCAAAAGTCCAGACCTCTGGTTTCAAAAAACCGTTAGGCCCGCATCTGTGCCACATAAAATCTGTGATCACTTTGTGCATAACATTTCCGAGATTGGGCGTTTGTTATCCAATCGCTTGGCAATTTATATGAGGAAAATTGCGGGAGCTTCCTGGGCAATATTCTGAAGAAGTTTCTCAAAAAGCTCAAACCAAATTTGAATTATTCAAAAAAGGTCTAGAGGTCTATACTTTTGAAATGCACTATAGGCTAGGAGGCTGATCCCAATGTTCTTCGGCGACCGACAGTACTGTAGCAGATCGCTATCTATCGTTCTGACATGCTATACTGTCTTCTCTCCTCAATTCTCCCATGCTAACCCTCGTGTTCCTACTCGGATAGTGAGCCAATAATATTCATATAAAAGAGGAAGGACCAACATGTTCAGTTTTGTGCCGCATTGTCACACTATCTGACTGTATACCGTATTATCTCTAATATAAGCACGGTCCTTTATTTTTTCAATGTACCTCCGCCCCGTGCTATTAATGGAGACGTTCCTTTATTGGAGACTGTTCCATTATTATTTCAACCTCATTTCAGAGGCTTGTTGCCATGCCAAGTTCATGTCAGACACACACATTTCAGGGTTTTTTCGCCGGTACAGATAATGAATTTCCACAGTGTGCTTATAATGGAGACTGAGCACTTTATTTTTTGAATGCCGCCCCAAGGTGTTCTATTATTGGAGACGTGCTATTATTGGAGACTGTGCTTATATTAGAGATAATACGGTAGTTTCTCGTTACCTTGCTGGACTGTTGGTCAAAACTCATAACATTTTGGTTGTCCTCAGATCGGGCACCTCAGATTTGCAAGACCATGATTGGGCACCTCAGATTTGTAAGAAACTAGCCGGAGTGTTCCACTGCTGTCGCGTGTGCTCATGCTAAACTACAGTACATACAATTTGAACTTGGCAGTAGCGATTTTGCAATGGGCTCCACGAAGGAGCAGGCAACCCTTGTCTACTATGGCTTATGATCTCTCCAACACGATCGTTCTCCCTGATGAAGCCCCCGAGGATAAACATTTGGAGATGGAAAACCATGATATGTAAACTAGAAACAGAGCCACCGTTCCTTGGTTTGAGGGAAAGATGCAAACGGGAAAAGTCTGAAGAAAAATGACTGTCACCAGCAGGACTCGAGCCAGGGACATTCTCTTGAGGCCAGCGATGGTCTAACCACTGAGCTATGGTGTGTAGCTGTCATCCCAGCAGAGACCGTTCAACATGTTTCCTAAAACTTCGAAACTCACACTTCCTCCATTCTCTGTGAATCCTGTCATACTACAGAGTGTGCAATGGCTACGGAGGTGAAGGATGGCATTGAGCATGGCGTTGTCATCCCCATGGCTGACGGAGGATTGCTCTGCTTGAAGAACGGCCGCCATCTGCCAGGCTCCGGCTGTGCAGATCGATGGCAGAAATTCTCCGAAGTCGAGTGTGGTGAGTGACTAGGTCTGCTAGGGTCACCTGTGCTGCTTCTATAACTGTACTATTAATTAATTTTATCCAAAAATTCATACCACACTGGCTTTTGAAAACCCGTGATTTTTTGAAAGCCCGATCTTGGCCGAATTGAGACTCAAAACCCCACTTTAACTGATTTGAAAAATCTGGGTTTGGGATATGCTTGTCTGTAATTTTTGCCATGGCCTACCTGTGTGAATTTGGTAAAACCTGGCAGATGTCTAATTCCCCATCCTTGGACTTGTCCGATCTCATATGAGGCAGGGATGAATTGGTGAGGAATTGGTGCTTGTAGCTCTAATTCTGGCTCCCGTTCTTCTGATGAGGGTTCTGGTGTTACAGTCCATTTCAAAAATATAGACACGTGGTATTTTTGAAATATTTCAAATTTGGCTGGAGCTTTTGGAGAATGGTTTTCGGAATATTGCTCAGGTCCTTCCCACAATTCTCTCATATCGATTTTTAAGCGATCGGATAACAAACGCCCAATTTGGAAATATTTATGTACAAAGTGATCACAGATTTTATGTGGTATAGATGCTGCCCCAACCGTTTTTTTTAATCACGCGTCTATATTTTTGAAACGCACTGTAGGTGCTTTCGTTGCGGCTGCTTGTGCGGTGCTGCTCCTGGTGCGTATGCTGCTCCTGGTGCTGCTAGTGCTGGAGATGCTGCTCGTGGTCGTGTTGGGGGGGGGGGGGGTGCTGAGGTCGCTGCTCCCCCCCCCCCCCTAACAGATGGCTTTTCACCTGATCTTGCTGCTTCCATCAGTTTTCCCACACATGACATCTGGGGCAGGGTAAAACCCCGTCATACGTACTGTCAAACTACTCTGATTCCAGACATAAGAGCGCAGTTTTCACTTAGTAACTTACCTAATGGTGTCAGCCAATAGCAAGATTCACCTCACATGTCTCTATCGATCTGCTCATGTTTTCATGTTCTGCAATTGTTTTCACTTGTGTTCTTCTGAATGCAGTTTGAGCACGGGACTGGCAGCCAGGAAGTTTGGCCATCTCGCGTGCAGCGGCATAAGAGGATGCATCGCGAAGAGAGCCGAAGGTATTCCATTACCTTCATCTCCTCTGCAATTCCACTTGTAATTATCAGAACTAATCGTGTTTCTAATGTTCAACAATTGATTTATCATCCATACAGCAAGTATGGCGACACAACTGAGATAGGTACGGCTGCCACCAAGCCTACACGATCCCGGTTCTGACCAGCTAAGCAAACAGACAGTCCGATACAAGTACAAGAACCAAACATATTGTTTGTGGGTTCATGTCATGCTCTTGGCATTGATGCTTCGGCAAGACTTGCGCCACATGCACTATGATAGATGTATTTGGTCTTTCCTAAACCGAGGGATCAAACTACGGTCATCGAGCCAGATGGACCTGCCGGTTTTAGCGCGCTTTCATTGCAGTACCTTCCATTCACTGATCAACTGAATCAACTTTTAATGTTTTTATAATTATACTCCATCCACTCACGCTTCCACCTGCCATTCACCGAGCAACTGAAATGATTTTCATTGATCTTTAATATATACTCCATTCACTCACACACGCAGCCAGTCTTGGGCACACTTTGGACACGTTTCTCCTTTCGGTATCCTCAACATCTCCATCACTCTGCAACCTTCTGTCCGTTTTGTTTTCTCCTTTCTGTATCCTCAACATCTCCATCATTCTGTAACCTTCTATCCGCTTGGTTTTCTCCTTTCTGTATCCCCAACATCTCCATCCGATAATTCTTCAACCTTCTATCCGTTTTGTTCCTCCTCTCCGTATCCTCAATGCCGATCTCCAACAGTCTGCAATCTTTGCCCACAGTGGGGCTGTTTTAATCCGCACACGTTTACTTCACACAAATCTCCAGAGTCCGCTTCTTATCCATGTGTTCAATATTCTTTCTTGCCAGGTATAGTTTTTTTACCGCATTTTGATCATTTTTCAGTATTTTTATGCCAAGCCCAAACTACAGACTGCGTATTTATATTACTGATAGCTTTACTAAAATTGTTGTCGCCTCGTCGACTTTTCGAAACACGTACATTTCTCGTTTCTTTCTAAATTACAACGAATGAACCAGCAATTCTGAGCGTGCCAGTGCATGCTCTGCGGGGTTCAGGCAACCCCGAGGCGGATCTTGGCACCGCGGGCCTTGTCCTACTAACCCTGGTTCTGGCCGACCCCTTTTCCGGCAGTCTTGATTCTGGCAGCATTGACTTCAGGCCACCCCATGACAATCCCGACTCGGGTAGCTCTGGTTCTGGCAAATGTGATCCACAAATAAAAAAATAAAAAAGGAGTGGCGGTGGAGGGAAGATAGAAAATGAATACTCTCCGAGTGTAGTGATGAGAAGGAGGGAGGGGCAAGCGTGGGTGTAAACGTTCTGTATCGTGGTACGGTACAGAGTTCGCTTGTGACAAGTAGAAACTGGACTCGGTGCACGGAAGAAACATTAATTCTCCATTCTCCTGATGATAGCGTAGAGCAAGAAACAAGTGAAGTAGGAGTGGAGACGAATTCCATGCACTGCACTCGTGACCTTGTGTGGGGGATCGTCTCTGGAGTGATGATCTGTCGACAGACTACAGTGAAACCTGTCTAAGGCGACCGCTCAAGGGACCTTCGAAATGCGGTCGCTGTGTACAGGTGGTCTCCTTTTTTAAGGGTCATTTGACCGGAATTGACAACCCTTGGCCCTGGTTGTAGCGGTCCCCTTGGACAGTTGGTCGCCTTGACAGGTTTTACTATAGTCTCATTGGGCACCTTGTCTCTGACCTGCGTCAAGAATTATCCGGTGTACATGTACATGTACAGAACTATTCTGTAATTAGTCTCTTGTACGGGCAAAAACAAAGTGATACAGCTTCTGTTGAAGAAGAAAACGAGCCGAATACATGACTCATGAGTCATGTACATGTACATGACTCATGAGTCATGTACATGTACATGACTCATGAGTCATGTACATGACTCATGAGTCATGTACATGTATCATAACTGTACACGGTATTACCGGTAGATAAACCTTGTCTTAGTTCACACATGCTGTTGGTTTGACAGCATGAAACAAGGTGGAGGAAAACTCCCCTAGAATAACTAGAATAAAGAGGGTCAGAAGTTGAGACTCAGACGGTTCAGACGGTTCAGATGGTCTCAACAGACCGGGGCTCTACCAACCGTGGATGGTTGTAGAAAGGTCACTGTTTCCGAACACTACGTCCTCCACCTTGTTTCATGCTGTCAAACCAACAACATGCAACCAGGCTCCGATGGGTTATGCTTGCGAAATCATGGAATTATGCTTTCATGGATTCTCGCCGCAATTATGCTCGCAAAATCTTCATAAAATAATAATCTTCATACCAGGGTTACAGGGTACCACGGTGTTTGACGACTCCCTGCTTCATACAATACTCCGAGTTTCAAAGCGTAAATGAAGTGTAAATGACTGCATCATGGGGCATCATGGGGCAAATCTAAAAGTGCGAATGACAGCAGTGGTGAAAGGTGACAACCACTGGAGCCGGTGGTCTCTTACTTAATTAGGTGATGGCTGTGGGCTGTGGATTTCTCTGTCCTCTTATTGTGTGAACCAGCTCTGCCTCTCGGTATTGAGCACTCTCTTGGACAGCCTGGAACCTCTCTGTTTTAATCATCTTCATTATTATGAAGATTTTGCTATGCTTTGGCACGTGGGGATACATATTCACTTTGTTGTACTTATGGAGCCTCAAAAGTTTGGAAAATTGTGGCCATAAATACAGTGAAATTTGCTAATAACGACTGTGGGTATAACGACACTTCGCGAATAAGGACACATTTTTGATGCTCCGCCGAGTGTTGTTATAAGCGAAGTTGACTGTACAGCAGAATACATTAGTAATCCCATACAATGGTGTTTATTCATCATCCGGCTAGAGATCAACATGGAAAAGAGAAAACAAGACTTCTTGTATTCATTAGCTGACTTCTTTTGTAAAAGATTTTTTCATTGCCAAATTAGTTTGAGTTACCTTCGAAAATTATCATGTTCAACTGTCTTCGTAATCGTCATACTCGTCCAACCGATGTCACCCTCAGTCACCCAGCAAATGATCAGCTCATCTCTCCTGTAGCTCCACCACTCCTTCCATCATGACCGAACATCAACTATACCTCATTTTTTTTAATTATTAGAGCAATATCCATAGCCTGCACAGCAATGTCTGCTAAAATCCAGAGCCTGAGGTCATGACTTCGTAACATGCCTAAATTGATAATCTTCTTGAAGCGCTGCAAGGAAAGTGACAAGAAAATCGATTTTGGTAAACCTTCATGACTTTGTTGTAGTGTGGCGATGACAGCAGAATTTGTTCTCTTTATAGCTATTATAAAATTGTTGTCTCCACGTCGATTATTTACATATACATGTACGTGGAGTTTTGGTGACTGCCCGTCACTATCTCGTCTGCCCCGGTATATCCGATAAAGGCTGATTCACTCGCATCTTCTGCTACATGTACTGTGTCAGTGTGAGAAAGAACTTTGAAGAAGACGAGTTGGAGCATGCAAAGATGGATTACCAGGGTTTCTTCCCTGCTTTTCATTGAAAACACTATCTGCATGACCTCCTAACCCTTTACCATGCAGGCCACCAGCACTGATCAGGTGCATTGTACACAATTGTGTAGCCTACATACTCAAACTGTGGTACAATCATGTAGTTAAAGTTACATGTACACTCTGTACACTATGTATGCTCCTTACCCCGTCAGGATGCCAAAATTATAAATAATAATAATATGCTCCAAATTTTCAAGCACCAAATTAGGGGCCGTCCATGGTTACCAATGATATTTTCAAAACGAAAAAGATTTTGTTTCTGGGTAGGTGGGTTTGATGGAGTTTCGTTTTGAAAATAATAATTATTGAATGCAGATGGAGAATGCCCAGTTACTTTTGGGTGACATCAATACTTTATTGGAATTCGTTTTACCTGCAGAAAAGGTGGGTGGGTGGGTGGGGGGCTGAAAATACTAAAACTTTTCGTTTTGTAAAAACAATCGGTAACTAGGGACCAGCGGATTCTGCTAGAAAAGCAGTGAAATTGGCAGAACCATACAAACCTTATGGCGGGCAATTCCTCGAATTCTGCTCCATTTCTTTATCCATATACTGTACCAAACATGCATGAAACTTACCAGAAAAAGTACCGAATGCTGCCATTTTTCTTCCGGCAGAATCCGCCGGACCCTATCGCCTATCGGTAACCCTGGACGGTCCCTTATGCCAATAATTATGCCGGCATAATCTTCCGGTGTCTACACAAGTAACATGTAACCCAGAGAGTCGCAAAATAGGTACTTTACGACTCCCTGCTCTAGCCAATCACTGCAATCAGCTAAATCTAAACATCTTCGCTAGCAGCATCCTCGTTGTGTGTTTTGGTTACCATGGTAACCTTGCTCGTTCTTTTTGATCGTGTTGAAGATCATGAAGATGGCTCAACAGCAATCTTGAACAATACAATCATGTTCAAGGCAGTGCCAGAGGCTAGGCCTTGACAAATTATGCTAGCATAATTTTTCGCATAATTCCTACCAAAATCGAATAATTGCATAATTCGAGGCAAATTGCATACGAATCGCATAAAATAGGAATAATCCGCCTGTTCGCATCAAATTCCATACAGTTGTACATGTTCTACAAGTACAAGTACAAGTAGATACACCAGGAAGGCGTAGGTTTACGACTCCCTTGATAACATGTCCAGTCCACTACAATCAGTGACCAGGGTGACGGTCGTAGCTAGGTCGGACGGTGCGGTGACCCCGTTGAACCTTTGCTACTACAGTACAGCGCCCTCTACAAAAAATTCCCCTGTTATTTTGCACAGAACCATCATATACATTAGCAGCATATGTGAGCATAATGCGGCATAATATGATAACTTTTAGCATAAAAATAGCATAATTCTGCCATTTTTTCAGCAATGCGAAAAGCATAATTTCACGAAAATATTAGCATAATCTGTCAAGGCCTACCAGAGGCAGAGGTGTGCATGAAGCTTCACGCAGTGCGTCTTCTCTTGCCACGTCACCAAGGACTTAGGTCACTGATGATGGCTCAACAGCAATCTTGAACAATACAAGGCAGTGCCAGAGGCAGAGGTGTGCATGAAGCTTCACGCAGTGCGTCTTCTCTCCTTCTCTTGCCACGTCACCATGGTCACTTAAAGACTCTAGCCTAGGGCGCACCAGGCCAGCGTCTCCCGCCGGGTTTCGGAAGCTGTCGTACGAGGTGATTCGTAATTTTTTACCATTGAGTCATTTCTTAACAAATCGGAAAAATATCTCATTGCCAGCGCCTGCAAAAAGTCATGTCAAATTTCTTTTTGCCATTGCCATTGCCAATGTTCTGTCAAGTTCGGCTCCAAAATTGAGACAGATATTCCTTCAGGAAGTGACATTGCAAGAGCTTTCAGTCTGCATGTGCGCGATGTTTACGGTAAAATAGAGTACCGGTATAAGAGAGTCATAGGCGCTGGTTTCAACCTCCAGTGACAACAAATTGTAGCTGAAGAGGAAGCATATGATAGCTACATACTGGAAACGACGCCTGGGAAGGAGAAAATTGATATCGGTGTGCTGGCCCTGGTATTGGCCAAACATTGGCAATTACTGAATTTACTAACAGATGTTGATCACAATTGCACATGAAATCAGGGTGATACACCTATTGCTATGCAAGCTTGAATGGCTTGTATTTGGATGAACATATTCTTGATCTAGTCTTTTTGGACCAACCTGGATACGTAGGGTATTTTACTATTTTTCCAGTATTGAAAACTGACTTGAAATTGTGGTGCTAAGGCCTATTTTACCATGATGTTAAGAAATGACCACAACAAATAATATGCAGAAAAATTGCCATTTTTCAACTTCCCCCTGCTTCCCAACACCAAGGATTATGTGAATGAACAACCCACCATTGCAATCTAAGGACATCAGTATCGCATTGTTAGAGGAAGAAATGGAAAGATTCGCACCTCGAACCCTACTGAAGGCTTTTTCACTTTCGTGTTAAATAATGACGAATCACCTCGTACTCCATCGTCTTGTTGTTGTTTATTTTACTTCGCAGATTCTAGCGGGCAGGTTGCCCAATAACAAGAAAGCGAAGGACAAGAAAATAGTAATAAATGAAATAAAGGGCAAAAAAATAAAATAAATGAAAATAATACATTTATTTATTTATTTATTTATTTATTCAACATCTCCTGGCCCGTCCGAAGACTGCCAATAAACATGAGAGGTCAGGTGATAGCCAACCACGGCAAGCTAAAAGGGAAAAAAAGAAAGAAGCTGTCAGAGAGGGAAAGGAGATAGGGAGAGAAAAAGAAAGGGAGGCACATTAATAATACATGGGATCACTTCGGATGAGACAGTGTGGAAAGCTGGACTGTGAATTTCCTGATATCCTGGCATGTCTTGATGCTAGTAGGCAGGTTAGACCAAAGGGAGTATGCTGAGAAGAAAGGGGATTTCAAAAACAGAGAGGAACTAGCTCGGGGCAGTGATAAGGCATTGCGTGTTGGTCTAGTGGTAACATGTACATGTACCGGTACATGTACATGTTTTAAAAAGAAACGAGCGGGTGGTACTCGTGCAGCCGCCTTCCTATTCTGCCTGAACGAATCAGAGATGTACAGTCATGGTACTACATCATAGTACATGTATTAGTATCTGATAATCTTATAGTAACACTAGTACAATACTGCAGTATTAGATAAACCTTGTCATACACGTAGTTCACACGTGTTGTTGGTTTGACAGCATGAAACAAAGTAGAGGACACCGTGCTGTAGGCATTGGCGGACTATGCTCGAAAAATTGGCAGATTCTGCTCGAAAAGCAGTGAAATTGGCAGAACCATACAAACCTTATGGCGGGCAATTCCTTGGCAGAATTCGGTACTTTTTCTGGTAAGTTTCATGCATGTTTGGTACAGTATATGGATAAAAAAATGGAGCAGAATTCGAGGAATTTCCAGCCATAAGGTTTGTATGGTTCTGCCAATTTCACTGCTTTTCGAGCAGAATCTGCCACCTTCCTAGACTAGTAGTAATGAACAAAAATATGAGCCCCGGCCAGCGAAAACCAGCACTTGTGTACTTGATATCAATCATCAAAATGTGACGTCAAAGTTTGGGACGCGCAGTGAGCTGGCTTTTGAAGATTCTTTTCGATCGAGTGGGTGTCTTTGCTGTCAAAGGAGTTTCAAGTGTCTTCAAATGTCTCTGGTCAATTGATTTTAGCGCTAGGTGAGAGCTCGTCACACAGAGGTTGAGTTTAGACACAGCGATGGCGACAGGTGTCGCGACAAAGACTTAGGTCCAGAGTTGTCAGCGTGAGACTCCCTGTACGAAGCGGCGCTGAAAGTTAGTTCGCGATCGGAATTATTTCTTTGTTGGCGATCTCGCTGAGTTTGTCCAGCAGTGGCGAGTGTCATATGCATAGCAACGAAGAGCCCTCATAAAATCGACACTGGATACTGGTGGCGACGATAGTCAGTGCTGAAGAAATAGCGACTGCGAGGAGAAGCTGAATGTCGACCCGCTGAGCGATCCGTATTTCTACATCGACAACAATGATGTTGCAGCCACTGATGGAGGGCTTCTCACGGCGCAAAACAGAGCGTAGTATTCTCAGTACTCTACCTTGCCAGACGACACCAAGCTGGCTGCTGCCTGTGTTGAGAAAGGGGATCCCTAAAAACTCAAACCGGCTGAACGCTTTGGGGCAACATGTTCACGTGCTACAAAACGCCAGCATTCGCTCATATCATTGAAATACAATTATGCTGAAATCATGGTCTGAGTGAAAGTGTGCAAGGGAGTGGATGTCAGTAGTATTGATCAGTACATCTATCAGTATGGCAAGCTTTGGGACAACGCCCAAACTGCCAGCGCAGAGGTCCCTGAACACAATTTGGAAGGCCAGCCACCAATCATCGTTTTGCACTCTGGTGTTGTAAAGAAGGTAGTGATGTATACGGAATATCGTCACTGTGACTTCTGAACTACTCATGCCTGCACAGGCTGCAGCACCAAGAGGGCAAGCCTGACTTGCATTCTATTTACTTACATGTACCTGTTCCACATCACAATCAGAAACTGTAGGATCAACTTGCATGGAGTCACTAGGCATGGATGCTGCGCCAACTGTACCGAATCTTGACCTCTCTGACTTCAAACTCTATTTTCCATGCTTTCGCTTATCAGATTGTCACCAAACTTGATAACTTGAATGATTAATAGTGTAGAAACAATTTCGAGGGAAAAAATAATTTTTGAAAAAATTACACATGTTCAGGTTTCTGCTGGCTGGGGCTCATATATTAAGATGGATAATAAAAGTACGAAGTAGTGGTTGCGACTTCGGCGATGATTTGTAAGAAAGGGTTTGCTCCCCACACCGGAGCTCGCCTGGTGATGTTTGTGCCTGGAGAGCACTATAATTATAAGTAGTGCTCTTCAGGCACAATCTTCCTCAGCCTACTCAAGCTCAACTGATGAGGGGTGAATTTCCCGAAACACTGTGTTTTGAGCAGGGAGTGGTGCCTTCTTGCAGGTTTGCCGAGTCGAAGGTTCGATGGACTTCTCGTGTGCTCTGGATGGCAGTCGTGAGTCAGTCAAGTGTCAAGTAAAGTCGGCGGAATAGCGCGAGCTCCGGTGTGGGGAGCAAACCCTTTCTTATGGATAATAAAGTTTCCAGTTTTCTAGAGACATTCATCAGGGAAATACGTCTCAATAATGAAATCTAGCAATAAACAACAATATATACGTGGAAGAGTACGAAATGCACTATGTGAAAGAAAATAGGAGAAAAGAAAGTGAAGTGCGAAAGACTAGAGAAGTGTGAACTAATAATCAATGCCAATGGGTGGAAAGGTGAGAAATAATACCGTACTGGCAATATAATTATGTTGCCGCAGTGAGGCCATGAAGCGTTACATTGGCACATGTTTGCCGCACGCAGGGCGTTACATGCAACGTCGCACAGGAGCCGTTACACAGGTTTCTATATTGCCGCAGTCCTTTTTTTGCTATTGCCGCATCACTTTTTTGCTATTGCCGCATCATTTTGGCGGTGCCGACGAACACGCTTTCTCGTTTGCTCACGAACTTTCTTCTGCTTCACTAAAACTTTCTTTGCACGATCAGCAGCAATCCTGTTTTTCGTCTCCTTTCTCTCCTCATCCTTTCCTTTTTCACTTTCCTTGGGCGTGATTTTCTTCACGCCGAAGGCGAATAGAGACTTCTGCATTGTCACAAGGAAACTGGTAAACACATCGCTCTTCTTCGCAAAACGACCTCGGGAAAGAAGAAACCATTGAGATCGCCAACCATTGAATGATGCGCCTTCGAGTGTCAGGACTTCCTGCTGCGTCCAGTTTTGAACTTTTCACCACGCGGTACACGTGCTTTCACAGTTTTCAGCCTTTTTTTGCAGTGCAAACTGCAATGAAAAGATCGCCGCACCCCGCCGGACGCGCGTTACGAAGTCAACGAAAATTTGTCGCACAAGCCTGGTCGCGCGTTACGCCGCACCCCCCTGCGTTACGCGTTACGCGGCAACATATATTGCCAGTACGGTAGTACGTCATCACTCAGTGGACGTGGACTTGTAGTCTGTACTCTGTACTGTACTGTAGTGTAGGATCAAGGACAGGCCTTGCATGCATGCACAAGACTCGATCAAGAGAAGACGCGCGCCGCGTAAAGCTTCTACGTAGTAGATCTACGCGCTTGCACGTGCCCACGCCCGGCCGGCGACGGCGTGGAAGTGTTCCAACGAGCGTGATACCCTGATGTCATGTCAGTGATGAGTGATCAGGTGATGGCGTAGTACTAGTAGTAGTAGTGATACCATGGATACGCCGCGCCTGCGCGCTATAGACTTCACGTATTGGTAATACTACATGATCTGACTGATAGTACATGATAGATTGATAGGCGAGTCTAGCAGTAGCGCCTACTGCCTAGGTCTCGCGCACTCTAGCAGGGTTGGCCATTTCTACGAAGTCGTTTGTCATTGGATTTTTGATGTGGTCTTTGATATCTTTCGGCTTTGGTCTGGACTGGAGAGATCTCGCCCCCATCATTATCATCATCGCTATACAGGTGCTCTCGAGATCTCGTCTGTCTACACAACCCAAGCCAGCAATCAGCATCGGACATCACTGCTGACTCGACTACACTTCGGTAAGCTAAGACCGGCACACTCTCACCATAGCCGTTTTCTTTGATCAACCTGCCATTATCAGTAACTATCATTTCGGTGCATTGACGATTAGGATGCCTTGAACTAAGGACTGATATCTGGAAATCATTCATGTGCTCAGTATAATCGATTTGAGTATCCAGCATCTCCTTGGAGTTGGAGTGGTGTGGTAAGGTCTGCAGAATCTACATGCACAGAATAAAATACTTCTGTGCCGCTGGAGTGCCGGGGCAGCTAGCGTGTGTGCATTGACGGGTCATTCGCCAACTGAGTTGAAGCAAAGCGTGGTGAAACCAGGGGGAGTAGATTTACGGTTAGGTGGGCTGCTTTCGGCGAACGCGCTGGTCATGGTAGCACTAGTACTGCGCGCTGTCATAACAGCAAGCTTTGTCCATTGTTGTTCTCACATTTTGCGGATTGTAATAAAAACTTTGTGTCGAGCACTGCGGAACAGAAACGGTGCCGCTGTGTGCAGTATCATGACGTACTGTATTCCACTCGGTGCCCTCTGACAGGCTCTGTTGTGAAGGAACACCTTTCACTCCTTATGGTTCGCACCATTTCGCGCTTCCACTCGTGGCGAAAAGCGGTAAAGTTTGAATGAATAACGCGTATCGGCTACGCCTGAATATTTACGTAAAAATCTCGATAGAGACACAGCTATTAAACTCAAGTAACTGATCATCAACCTGGTCCGTGCTTGTTCGCTATTTCGCATTCGCTCTCTCAAAAATTAGCAAGGGTTCTAGCCAAGAAAAAAATGTAGGGGGGGGGGGGGACAAACAGTTCACCCATTTTCATTCTCGACGTCGTGTAACTCGTCATACGGAGACCAGGCCGAGTGAACTGTGCTCCATTCGGAGAACGGTATGAAAGAAATCCGCGTGAGACTTGATCTCGAGCCTCGGCGAGGATTCCGTATGTACGTTTTGTCCTCCATGCGGAGGTGGCAGGGGTGTCGGAAGGTATTTCAGTGTGGTACGGTCAGCCATCTGAAATTCAATTTACTTGTGGGGAGGGGTGGCCGAGCCGGTTGGGTACAGCACCCATTTCCCCAACCGGACACATGAAATTGACCGTGAACTCATGCACGAAGAGTTGCACACAATATCCTGGGCGGACTGGTTTACTAAAGGCCGATAATGCATTTCGCAGACTGCAATGGCTTCACTCACTCAGCCGCACTGAATCACTGGGTCATGTATATGTATGTTCTTGGTATGTTACTGCCGCAGAGCGAAGAGCTAAGGATGAACGCAACGGATTCCATGGCCCAAGCGACACTGGTTGCGACGTCGATCGCTGACAATGGCAATAATGCATTCGCAACCTGTCTTCCCGGCAATGGCGAAGCAAAGTCCGCGGGGACTGCCTGCCCTCATGAGCTTTCCACCGTGTTTGATGACAGCGCCGTGTCAGTAAGCACCCCAGGAGCCACCACACTGGTCATGGGCATTCCCACGGCAACGGACATGCAGGTGCCGACTACGGCTGTGACTACCAGCGGCTACGGTGTCATGGAAGCGCTGGGAATGTCGGCGCAGGACACGGTCATTATGACGCAGGCGTTGGCCACCAGCGCTGCCAACACCACGCTGCCCGTCGGCGTGTCCGTCGCCAATGCCGACAATCACCGTGGCAACGCCGCAGCTGCGGATATCAGCTCTGTTGGCGGCGGCAATGGACGGCTGCAGCCACTGGTGCTGACTGGTATCAGCAATAATTCCAGTGCCGCGTCTTCCGCGAATAACATGGTGTCAGACGATTCGTCGTCGTCGCCGATCACAACAACAGGTGAGGCCGCCGCATCGGCAACAGCCAACGGACCGCGGCCCAGCTACAAACAATGGACGCACGAGGAGCAATTCAAACAGGTTCGTAAGTTGCATGCCCTTACGTAGAGAGGTTAATTAAGCAGTACAAATGTTGCTTTGTTTCTCGGCTGGCCGATATCAGCACTTTCCGAAAGTCAAGTTTCAGCAGGTCGAAGTGATATTTTTGAGAAATCCAATAATAATTGCAATCGACTCCTGATACTTCCAAGTACAAAGAACACCATTGTGCAGGAGAATTTGTTCTTTACAACCAAAGTTCGTTGTAACAGAAATTCTCACTCGCACCGCACAAGCAGCAAGTCATGACTGACAAGTGGCCCATGGCAGTGTGCTTGCACTTGGTTTACATGCGACCCTACACGATTTGGTTCGTCATAAACGAAAGCTGTTCGCTGTGAACGGTCAATTTTGTATTGGCTCAAACAGGGGCATGGGGAATGGTTCGCTATAATTATCACGAAATTCGCTATACATGTATGCGAGTTCATTATAAGTGGAGCTGACTGTAATGCCAAATGTGCCATCACAACTGAAAATTAATTTTCGACAAGCGGGCCTTTTCCAGAAAGTAACTACTGACTGTTTGTTTCAATGCGTGCACCTCGTTCACGTGGGTGATATCTTTTGCGAAATTCTGTTCGGTGACCCTCTGCATAAGCCTTTGATAGGGGAATCCCCGTAGGTATATGTCCTATTTATAGGGTTCCTTGAGCAGTGAGAAGGGAGTTGAGCACCAGTACGATTGAAGGTCTACAATGTTGGCAGGGAGTGCGTTCCAGTGGCCTGAGCGACGAGAAACGACTTAACACGGAGCAGAACTAGCTTTGGCATTAGGCAGATCAAGGGTATGAGTATGATCCACATGATCGTAGCTCTCAAGGCTGGCTCACGCTCGCATGTCTAATGCGGTCTGTCATCTTCTGACATACCTTTGCCAAACAGGTAGAGTGACAACTTGTTTGTTAAGTCATGCACCTGCTCTCAGGCAGAAACAAATTGAGGTAAAGGTTTCAATCCCTCCTCTGTCAGTCTGTGTTAGACCTCTGTGTTAGCTGTATTCCCTCTACATGTTTTAATGCTCTCTCTCTCTCTCTCTCTCTCTCTCTCTCTCTCTCTCTCTCTCTCTCTCTCTCTCTCTCTCTCTCTCTCTCTCTCTCTCTCTCTCTCACACTCTCTCACTCTCTCCCCCTCTCTCTCTCTCTCTCTCTCTCTCTCTCTCTCTCTCTCTCTCTCTCTCTCTCTCTCTCTCTCTCTCACTCTCTCTCCCTCCCTCCCTCCCTCCACAGCTGTACGAGATTTCAGAGGAACCTGAGCGCAAGACGTTTCTGGACTCATTGTTTGACTTCATGCAAAAGCGAGGTAATTCTTTGTGGATGTCCAGACGTATTGCCTGAGCATGTACTACAGTAATCACACATAATTTCTCTTCTCTCCCCATGGTGCATGACGCGCGCCTTGATCTTGAGACCATTGGTCGGAGGAGCGAGTTTCACCTCACCCGCACAGCTGTCAGTGTAGCATCTACACTCCCGTTGTTGTCCACTATGTTCTGTTGTTGTGTTCTTGGTCTCCTCCATTCTATGTTGGCGTGTGCACTATTCTATGAATGAAGAATACGTAATCTGCGGACCGAACTGTTTCCTCCTTTGTGGACTTATAGCGCAGCACGGAGAAAATGAGGCCGAACTCGATAGCAGTGAAAAATAAATTTTCCAAAGCCAGAATTAAGGTGGTTCATACCCAAATCGGGAAATATAAACGGCCCGGTCGATTTCGTTCAAAATTGCACAGCTCTTTAGTGTTACCAGAATATTGCTATTCCCGAAAAATGGGAAGGATTGAAACACTTCTTCATAGTTTAAACCCGATTTCCATTTTTTGGTATTTTGGAGCACTTTGCACCAAACACATCCCAGCATTTTGCCTCTACTGTTGTATTGTTCAGACTAAATGTTGTAGTGTTCTTTTCAGTCATCTGAGTAGTGATTTTTGCAGTCAAGCCAAGCCAAATAGGGTGGATGGGCTTTCTTTTCAGGGTTCTTGGCTGCCCACACTAACAATCTCATTCAGCTTGGAACGCAAATATCGGTACTCCGCGGGTTGCTTCCCGAAATTGGCCCGATAGATTTTCTTCATTTCTTCAAGAAGTACAGCCAGCTAGGTGGTTCATATGCTAAACATTAGATAGTTGACATTGAATCAGTGTGGAGTGCCTAGGAGCACGGTTTACTGAATCCAATATCAACTGACGTGTTTGTGGACCAAAACATTATAGTCAAACATAATGGCCCAATAGATTTCCGAATGATTCAAATTTTGCAGAGGTATACTTCGATAGTAATGGGAAGGGTCTTCACAGTTATAGCCCCCTGCAGCTACCAGAAGCATACTTTGTCAAGTGCTCTCAATTTGTCGATTTTGGGGTAAATTCGCATATTACTCTCATCAAGAAAATTGGAACTGCTTTATGGATTTCCTTTAAATTTGGCATGGCTGTCCCTTTGATCGATGAATAAGTGCCTGCCACGTTTCATGGTTCTGCTACCACCAGAACATACCTTTTGAGTCGATTATAGAAGCTATTCTTGTCAAAACCACTACCGAAAAAAAGAAGAAAAAAAGTTTTCACCGGGGAGGCTCGAACCCGCGAGGGGTAAAAAGTCAAAATATTTCAAAATATTTCTACTCCAAACCTGCGCAGAAGGATGCTCAAAGGACTAGTTTTCGATTTAGGTACGAGCCACCTTAGACCAGTCCCGAACGTCACCAATGAAAAGTATACAAGTAAACAAGTAATTTAATTCGCGGGTGAAAAGCAGCAGCTCATTCAAGGCACACAGTCTCCTGCTGTATTTCCTGTGACCCTGCACAGGTTCACCAGTCAGTCGCATACCAATCATGGCCAAGGTCACTCTTGATCTCTATAAACTGTTCACGGAAGTCTGCGTTCGCGGCGGACTGGTTGAAGTAAGCTCCATTCCACGTTTCCACCATACCAACTCAGCTGTGCTCATCAATTTAAGTTAACTTAAAATCTTTGCCATGTTTTTTTTATCAGGGAAGTGTGCGGAGGAGTGTAGTGGGTGTTGTGAGGCAGCCGTTCTACGGAGTGCAGTTGTTGTTAGGGTTTTTGCGGAGGAGTGTGGTGGGTGTTGTGAGGCGGTTGTGTGGAGAAGGAGTGCAATGAATGCTGTGAGGCAGTTTTGCGGTGGAGTGTAGTTATTGTAAGCGGTTTGTGTAGGGGACTGGAGTACGGTTGTTACGTGGCAGTTGTGTGGAGGAGCTGGGTCAGAGCAGAGAGCTAATACCTAGCTCTATATAAGAAAGTAAGGTGGCAGTAGGTGCAGGCATCACTAGCTGCCGTCTGTGTTGAAAGTTTGTAAATGTGCGACGCTCAAGACACAACTCGGAGACTGTCCGCATGACTAGAGTACTGTCGTGTGTCTACTACCAGGCACCGAAGAACGGACAGGCTAGGTTATCAGCAAGCACATGTTATAATTTTGCAGATATATACCCAGTAAGCCATGAACGGAGACCCCTTCGACTTAGACCTCGGCCTTTGGGGAATCCATAAATAAATAGATAAACATGCCGGTATACGCACGGTGACTTCACTGTGTATAAACCACTAGTACAGTAAAAACCTGTAACTAAAGACCGCCGTGACTAGCGACCAGCCTGCCTGGTACTACAGGCCACTTTGCCAGGCATGGACGGTCTCACATTCGTATACAATAAAACCTGTAACTAAAGACCACCGTGACTAGCGACCAGCCTGGTACTACAGTAAAACCTGTAACTAAAGACCACCGTGACTAGCGGCCAGCCTGGTACTACAGACCACTTTGCAAGGCACGGACGGTCTCACATTCATATATGGTTGTGCGGTGCAAACCTCTAACTAAGGACCACCTGCCACTAAAGACCGCTTTATCTGGCCCCAAGGGGTGGTCGTTAGTCATAGGTTTTACCGTACATGAAAATAAGAGCGGCCCAGGCTACGCGGCTGAAGACCCAATTCTCCCGCAACAGAACTGTAGTCTGTCTCACCGTGCAATGTCTGCGTCAGCATTCTCACGTTACAAACCAGAGGATGGCAGCAGCCTCGCAGCAATATCAAAGCAGACTAGATGCCAGCCCCTATTCAGGCTGTATTCGTGTTGTAACACAATTCCCCTGTTACTTGTGCTGGTTTCCTTGTTCCCAACAGGTCATCAACAAGAAGATGTGGCGTGACGTGGCAAACTCGCTCGGCATCCCAACCTCCATTACCAGCGCTGCGTTCACCTTGAAAACACAGTGAGTTGCGCAAGCTTGCGTCGGGTAGTGCAGAGTACTCAAAGAGTTAGCATGGCATCTTGTAGGCGACATGATGATTCTGATCGATAAGCATAAGGGAGGTGTGTCTAAATCATGTGGGTTTTGTCCCTGGGCTGCCTGTTACAATCGCCCTTGAGGCAGGGCCGATTTATACGAGCTTGCATATGGCATCGCTTGTCTGATCCGCTTTTGAGGCCATCAGATCAAGGCCGTGACGACAATCGCAAGTTGAAAAGACCACGTATCACGTAGCACATCCAATTACGAGATCGAAACGCGCATCATTTCAGGTACTATGTTCTTGTGTCATCTCTCTAGGTGCAACAACTACGTGATGAGCAGTGTGCTCAGCCTTTGTATGTTTTGTTCAGGGTTATGTGTGTATGTGTGAACACTGCCCATCCAACTTGCTCCGCGTGTACGCTGTCATTGGGTTTATAGTCCCGAACGCATGCCACTCGGACTCATCACGAATAATGTGGCTGTGTTCGACCATTCGCACTTATGTGCCTGAAAGTGCACACATGTGCTTTAAACCACATCCCCATGTGTTGTGGTATGTGCATTCTCTCCGCCCTACCCTGCAGGTATACGAAGTACCTGTACCCGTACGAGTGCGAAACCAAAGGCTTCTCGCACCCGGACGATCTGCGCGCGCTGGAGACCAACCGCCGGGACATGCGATCCCAGTCCGCAAGTAAGCCAAACAGTCTGTATTCTCTGGTCTGCTGCATCATGGACAGTGGGTCAGGGGTGTAGCTTGCACATCTAT